AATGACACGTCGTCCTTGCGTCTGCGATAGCTTTGAGCCAAGGTCTGAGTCTTGGAATGAACGGTCTCACAATTCACACGAGAATACCTTTTAGCTGTGGGCTGGGGTAGGTTCATTTTGTGTCCCATAAAACTAGAATTTAAAAAAATACTCGCGTAAAAATAGTAATCACAAACATTCCACGAAACCGTATCTTCTATGCTAATATCTGCCTGCATGGTCTGTACTGGATATGTATTTGCGTCACGTGGTTTTTTTGCCGTGCGTGCAGCATGTGTGCATCTTTGAATCTTGTTCAGAGATGTTTGTTGACACCATTCTGTTTGTGTACTGCGCACATTTTAAATGTTGTTGGCCTCTTTTGCTCTCTGGTGAGATTTTGGGTCGTGCCGCGTGCTATTTGGCATGATGTCCGACGCTGCACCCCCAGTGCTGAAAGCTTCTTCAGGAACTGATTTGGAAAGTACCCCCACCACCCCTCTGCCCCACCGCCCCTCCACCCACTTGGATTCCCGCTTGTGGCACAACCATAATTAATGTGAATGGGCTGAACTTTCGCCAAATCGGTGAGGGTCAATTAATGTCCCTGTCCACGGGGTACGTTACGCAACTCTATCGAACTTCTGTGGTGAATGCGACGACGGTGCCGTGATTCTGCAAAATGCCCTGCGGCTCATGGCTGCTCCATAAAAATGGTAAATTGCTCTGAAAAATGTGGAAACTCTTAGCCTGCGGCCGTCCGATAAATCAGACGCCCAGAGAAGGCATGCAGGAGGGTTATGGATGGAGCACTGAGCAAACCTTTGACCTTGGCAACAAAGCACACCATACCAGCTCCATCCCGTAACCGCTTTATGATGATTAAAATGAATATATATGGGAAATGCATGAAACAGGCTTGTGAGCATATTGTGTAAAAAGATACGTACGACAATGAAAATGTCCCAGTGGCATCCGTTTTTATAACCATTGATACGCAGCGTGCATATGAAAGAAACACTCTTTGCGCAGGCCATTTTGGGACGAGATATGTCATCGTCTGCATGAAGCCATGGTCAATCCACTGCTGGACGAATGGCTCCCCAAGCCGTCGTTCCCCGTGTCAGCTGGCTTTGTTCACGAACACGCGATAACCGGAGTGGTGAAGTACAGTCATATTTCCCCCCTGAAACGGTAGCATAGTCTGAAAAGGATATATGTGTATAAAAAGTAATGTCTGGTAGCGAAGGTGATAATTTGTTTCTGCATATTACCACGAACCGGGCACAGTAAAGTACTGTATCCGTACATTCAACACACTCTTTGGTGATACAACATTGGCAGTGGTGCACAAACACAAATAACAAAACAAACTCAACACATTCGTCAATAACACTGTGGCTTTAAAAGGAAACATTCACAATTCACAGTAAAATATATAATAAGCAACGTTTCGGGCAATGACCCTCATTCATTGCACGTACATTATTTATAATTAATGTAAACGCATCCGTGATTTATGTCCTATGAAGAAGGGCCATTGTCTAAAACGTCATATTTTATATTTGTTTCCATTGAAAAGCCACGGTGTTACTGACGGAGGCGTTGAGGTGTTCTTTTTGTGTAAGTACATTAATGTCGTCTCACTCTAACCCTTGTGTACTCCGTGGAACACACCGCAGTGCATCAGTTGCCATGACAACGGCAGTGCAGTTCATTTGAGGTTGCAGAGGTCGTGAGGTCACGTACAAAATGTGCAGCCGCGCGTCTATCAAGGGGAAGACTTTTAGTGGATTCCAAATCAATTACGATTGATTTGAATTACTGTGGTCAATGTGGACGTTCTGATGGGGGGACAGCCATTCTATTCTTATTGACTCGTGTGTGTGTGTTTTAGATGTACTGTATGTGTTTTTGTCACAGAACGAACGCGTGTGTTTATTTTATGTTGACGTTAACCATCTGGTTTGCGTTTGCTTTTCGAAACAAAGGACCGGGCCGTTTTGAACAAAAACATAGTAAATTGACCTTGAAAATGTGTTTGTTTAAATGTCCTATGAATTGCAGATTGAGAAAAATACTCCCAGAGTTCTGCAAAACCCATGTCACAACACAGTACACGGAATATATAAAATGTATAATCTCTATTGCAGTTCTAAATCGGAGCGTGGTTACCGACACGCTCCGATTTAGAACTGAACTCTGTCCTGTGCTGGGACCTAGCAACGCCACAATTATATTGCGACGACTGCACTGTATCACTTTACGGTGGGAGAGCAACGGTGATGATCCAGCAATCTTGTTTCAAGTCCATGCCACAGCTAACATCAGCGGCGAGTGATAAAAACTATTTTTTTTATTTTAGCACTTAAGGCCCACTGAGCAATAAAGCTCTTTTTCAGAAGCGACCAGGCCACAAATGATATAGCTCAACGAAGTGGCTTATCATGTGGAAATTTATAGCAGTCAAATAATCTAAACGCATGTTTCTAAATGTGGACGGTAAAACCGGAGGACCTGGAGAAAAATCCACGCTACCACGGGCAGACATGCAAACTCCAAATATACAACATGCGTCAGAGTCGGGATCGATCGAACCGGGCGAGGGAGTGAAGATCTCGCTTCTGTGGCGCCCCTATCTGGACCAGGCCTTGCACCGCTTCCCCTTCAATCCTCACTGACCAAGCATGGTGAAGCATGGTTAACCGACATATCATGGGGTGGGGGGAGGCATTCATGTAGTAGTGCAGTGCGGTACACCAGGTGTGCAGTGGTATGCCTCACTGCTCGCAAGTTCGGACAGACGAACTCCCCTCCGTGCTGTTCAGTGGCCGATCCAGCCACCACCTCCCCCCACTTCCTCTCCATTGGTCACGGCACGGTTTGGCAGCCATCAACTCCGCACGCCTGGCACTCTCAAATACCCCAGTTGCGCAGACGTGGAGACACGATGACACTCGCACGCAGGCATGGAGACACGCATTGCAGCAATTTTTTGCCAAGGGTTTTGGAAGCGCCACTTGCCCCCTTGAAGCACCGTATCAGCCAAGGATTGTGAATTATTTCGACTACAACGCATTTACACCTATTCATTCAGGCCCACGGTGAATTTTTGGTTCTAAAGTGTGCCGTCAAATTCAAAAGGTTGAGAAGCACTGCAGAAGTGAATTGATAAAGGGCTATACACTAAGTACTTTACTGGATAAGCAGTCCTCAACTTACAAACACCCACACTGACGAACAGAACCCATTCGTAAGTCGAGGACTGCTCGTCCTGTATTGCATAAATGAGAGTGCTTGTTCATGATCACATCCCTGTATCATTTTATATTCTGTATGCAGGATAAACGTGCAGAAATTTGTAAAACAGTGGATGTTTTTTTTTCTCCGGCAGATACAAATACTTTACAGTGCTATGAATCCACAGGGACTGGAGGAATGCTCCGTGTGGGGTGAGTGATGTTGCTTCATAATTAGATTACCGTCATTGTCAGTTTCGTTGAAGAACAGATTATTTTTGAACACCGATGAATGGGCAGCCTTTAGTGTCTAGAAGGAATCACTTTAACCTAACTTGAAATATATTAGTCAATTTCCATCCACTGCTGAAGGTTTGCCAATTCCATCCCTCACCGTATTGATGAAATACATATATAAAAACACCGATTCGCACACACGATACCGTGTTCATTGCATGTTTATAAACGTAAGAATTGATGTTAATTGATTAATCATTCTACCGATAGTTAACACCTAATGCATCTTGATAAAGAGCTACGATTTGCATCGATTGGGATACATTTATTTTTTACCGATTTAAAACGCCCCAAAAGGATGCTAGAACAGTCTCGGGGTACTGTTTTTCACTTACCAGGCAGAAAAGATCTTTCGACAAATATTGCTTCCAGGTTTGGTTAAAAGCCTCCAGAGAGCTGTGCATGAAATGTAATATGCGTCCCCCCTTGGAGCAGTTGAAGTAGATGTATTATTTGTGCAAGCTGGCACTCCAAAACAACTTGACCACTCATAGGAAAAGGCCGGATGAAAGATGCATTTCTGAATAGAGCAACCTCCTTGCCTGATGTGTTGAACCCAAGGGGTTGCATCTCGGGAGAGGCTGTTAAATTTTATAGCCAGGTAGTTACTGTCAAAGCAACAGCCTCCAGAAAGAAGAATTCTAGTTTTACTTACACCCTTTGCACTTTTTGTCTTGATCTAACCATCAGTGCGTTACTTTCTGGCACTTGAAATTAAGACACGAGTATTTGTGTGTAGTGTGTAGACCGTACTTCAATCGAGGCAGTTTTTTTTTTACAATTCAGAGGCTACCATCAGTAAATACAATATAAAGGTAAGGTTGAAATGGCACATTCTGCATTTCGCTTACCGCCATTGCATTTGGTGACTATTGTGTGCCAGATTCTACCTGTTTTAAATGCCCGTGTGCATTATACATAAAGTTACAGTACTTTATATGAAACGTGAATAATTTTTGTGATCTGGTCAGAGTGCATTATACTTAAAAACTATTAAATTGCAAGTAATTTTGAATAAGCCTTTACATTATTTATGTGGACAACATACATGGGGGTTTGGAATGCTTTATGTCTTTACTTTTGGACTACATTTTTTGATTTTCACATCGAGCTAGTCATTGAATTTTGTGTTTACATTTTAAATTGTTGGACAAATATTTTCTACAGCTATTGTTTAGTTTTGTACATTGTACTATTCATGCTGTATTTGGTTCTAAATAAAACACTTGATTGAATCAAATTTGGCCCACGTAAAAATACCTTCCTCAAGTGGTTACACAGATCCCAAATCCAGAATCTCAGTGGTGCTGGCTGAGCACTTGAGCACAATGATAGCTCGCTAAGATGCCCAAGTCACTTCGTTATTTTTTACTGAAGCCACCGTCATGTGTGTTCTTGTACTGACATATCACTCCACACTGACCGCAGGACAGCAGTGCAAACAAAACATTTGCACATTAAAATGAATCGAGCAATAAGACGAGCTTGACAATTAATTGCAACTTTAATGGACGCTGCATTCATAATGTACGTGATATTGTTAGGTAAATAATTATTTGTAAACTATTACATTTCTTGACTTAAAGCTTTCGTGACTACAGGAATTCATATTCTTGGGTCTTTAAGTAAAGTCACGTAGATAGGTTCAAAGAAAATAACAAAAATAACAAAAAACTACGTTTCGATCGCAACACAAGTAACACAAGCAATCGTCATTCCAACTACGTGAACGTTTGTTGTTTAGAACGTACTTCCAAGAAGTTTACTTACTGTCTATCACCAACTCTAATTTACAGCCCTTTGTTAGTTCCATTGCTGGGCGAAGTTCTCCCCATTCCGTGTCGGTCATGGGGTTTTTTGACTAAACCAAAATGCTGCTTGAGTATAGGGAGGTGCCCAGCGCAAGTTTAGATATTATTCGCCACTGATGTTAGTTGTGGCTGGGAATTTAACTTGGGTCAACAAGTTCACAGTGCGGTGCACATACTGCTGCACCACCGTTTCCTTTCATACGACTGTGTATATTTGGCACATTTTAAACCTTGCTTTTAAAACAGGCCCATTAGGCCTTCGTTAAAGTGTGCCAATTTTCCAGGCTGTGATTTAATGATTCAAACTAGGGGGATCCGTGCACCTGACACAGAATCCACGCTGAAACGGCTGTCACCATGTAACTGCATTTGACAGCCATTGACGTTGATTAACTTTCCACCATATCGCATATTAAATCATGTACCGTGTTCATTTGCACATGCAGTACAACCACTGCGTATGGTGTATAATTGAGCCAATTTAACTGAAGACATCATATTTCATCGCGAAATGTGCTGTCCAATCACTTTCACGCTCGATCACATTTGAGTGATATATTCACATGAAACTTTTTCCAGGCCTACTTCCATGCTTCACATCATAGAAGTTTTTTTTTCAAGCAACATCTATTATTAGTTTGCTTGACTTTTCTTAAAAGCAATGATTGTTTGACATAACACACAGCAATTAACATAATTTGCATTGGATATGAGGCTCCATGAATGTGGGAATAACTGGCATCCCAAGCGCTGTTAAGTTATTCTGAGAGCCGGAGAATGGACTAAAAGTGTACAATAGTACTCAAAGGTAAACCGTGCATGTTAGTGTTAGAGCCTTCCCGTTACCTCTCTTTCCCATCCCTGGTATTCTGTATGCAATATCTTCATTTCTTAATTATATTCATTCCAGTATATTATAAAAAATCCCATAAAAATTAGGTTTTGCACGGAATTTGGCTAAATTCCAGCTATGAAAACTAAAACATCAGCGTGACTATCACGCAACAAACATTACTCTCATATTGCGAGGGTCGACCAGATGTTACTTGAAGGGATCTCAAAGCTAGCTCTGTGATATCCGTTTCTGCGGGGCTATTCTCTAATACAAATGGGTGTACTGCTCTGCGAGAGCAACACGTGACTACTTCGATTTGTGATACCATACCAATAGCACAATTATAAAAAGATTGGGGGAGAAGAAAAAAACACCCCCCACAAATACATTTTATGAAAATCGAGACAACCCGGCCATGGCAGGGATTTTTCGGAAAGGCACTGCGGATAACAATTCTCGGAGGCTGCCACCTCGACCCCGCACGTGACAGAGGGCGGCAGCCGTCGCAGCCACCACCACGGCCCCCAGGCACAGCCAGCGGCGTCCGGCGCAGCACGGCGAGGCACCGGCTCCGCCGTGGGGCGGCACCCCCGCGCCTGCGGGTCGCAGATCGGGCGACTCGAACTCGCCGCCGTCGAAAGCCGGCAGCAGGGAGGGACGCAGGCCCTGGAGGGCCTCGCGGGCCGCGCGCGCGCCCGACTGCACCGCGCCGCTCATGAAGCCGCACCACTCGGTCGCCGTCTCCGTGCCCGCCCAGTGGATCCTGGTCATTCAGGCTCCGCGTCTGACATCCACGTTGTGTGCTGTTGTGCGTCATTCATGCAGCAGACTCACTTTCGACGTGGGATGGTTAGTGCGGTTGCCGAGTGCAGTCCGGGGCAATCCTGTCGTGTGACCAGGGCTTAATTTTATCCAGAGATGCCCGGGGCTGAGCTCCTGATATAATTTACCACACCCAGCCAGCTCCCTACCTTTAAAGAGGAGGGCCGAGTCCAACGGACTCCATGGGAAATTAACTCCTGAGCACGACCTTGTTTAAAGAGGGCGCGTGCAAAAAGACTCGGACGAGCCAAGACAGTCAATGTTAAACAAACTCGAAACGAACGTTAAACAATAAACAGAATGAGTTATTTTGTCTTATGCATCCCAGCTCTCACCCCTTAAGTAAATATTATACCAACATTTTTCTAAGTTATGGGGCTAGTCTAGGGCAATCGAGTATTGTTAGCAACCACCATTGCTACCGTTGGTATCATTTGGTGAAGATAATGACAATGTCACCATCAGTGCGTATTACGAACGAGGCTTAACATGAGACAGGTCTGTCTGGGTTGGCGACCCAGAAAATATTTCCACGCCCGGCACAACCACATCACAACCAGTACATCGCTCACTGTAGCTGTGGTTACGAGTCACGTGTCTCCTCCAGTCTACCAGCCACCCAGAAAACATTCAGTAAAAATTTCAGTCCTGATGACGATGGTCAAAATTCAAATTCGAATTAATTATTCATGCGTAAACGAGCGCTGAGATCTGCACTCATTTCCGATTAGCAAAGTTGGCTAGGTACCGTGTGTGAGAAGTTCAACACATACATACTCATCTCCATGATAGGCCCTAAGCACGTGGGGGAAATAGTTATTTTCATGGCAGAGGTCAGCCTTGTTGCTATAGAAGACACATTTGAACGTTTGCAATCTTTGGGGACTGAGTCGTGTCCGATAATCACAACAAATTATTTTGATCTGTGTTTTTCCAGGAGGCCCCACTGTGTCTAAATACTTTTTCCGGAGAATTCTCCTTGGAATGTTTGCCCCAAATCCTTTTTGTATGCGCGTTTTTATCCTGTGGGAAGGAAACGGGAATTCCCGGAAAAGCACAATGCGATCTAAAAGAAGAATGATTAAACTGCACTTGAATATGTCAACTACCTACTTGCTCTACTGCCCCCCCCCCCCCACGTTCCCCTGGATGCACCTGTAAGTAGATATTTCCCACACAATAATCTCAGTGTGATCCACCAACCCTACCTCTAAATCCACGGCTTACAGATGTGTTCCACTTTGTACGGTCATCAGAAGTAAGATAAGGCACTGCATTGCATAAGTACAAATATAAATAACTCCATATTTCAACACTGCCTAATAGCATAACAAGATACACAAGGCAGTGGCCCTTCTCATATAGAGGCGGGAATACCCACAATTTACCCCACCACATGCGAACCTGTCGATCAACTGCCAATGGACACTGCTGGGTGGGCAGAGGTGGGGGGGGGGGTGTGATCGTGTCAACTGCCGCGCCGGGGGACCGAACTGACGGCCTGGATTTCAAATCTGATGAGCTGCGAACCATTACCCCACAGCAGCATCCATATATATAATGTTTCTATCATATTGCAGTTATGAATATAGCAGGCTGTATTAGTACATTACATGTGCCCAGGATATGACTCAGCACAGTGATTTCCACACAAAGCAAAATAAGAAAATTAATCAACACATTGCAGGTGAATAAACTTTTTATCTTTACTTATTCCCTGGCACTGCTCAACTTTGTAATTCCCTCCTATCGTCTCTTTGTTCCAAATTCGTATAACACCCTTGCTCAATTCAAGAAGCATATTAACTACTGTCTATGACAACTTGATTAATTGTGATGCTTCTGTCCGGAGGAGTCTCTTCACCCACTGATTTTTTTAAATGTTCAAAACACTCCCTAAGTAATTTCCCACGACTAACTATCCTTGATTGTTCTCAACATATTAGTGAGAAACCATCCAGCGGCTTTTAAAATGAGTTAATTTGATACGCATCACGTGCAGGGAGATTATTCCAGTAATCTACAGCTCAGCTCCTAGTGATCTGATCTCTTGATTAGTGATCTCAACTCTTAGTAATCTCAACTGTTGGTCTGTGATCTCAACTTTTGGCCAGTTTGCATGGATTTGAAGGTCCAAGTCTCACCACTTGATAACAGATTTGACCGTATCTAGATGCATCGTCGGCTTTAATAAGTAGAGGTTCGATGCCCTGTGATGTCATGAAGAGCTAGGCCAATTAGTCGAGCCATTGACTGAAAATGGTAATCGACTTCTTTGGTGACCAAACCGAAGTCTCGCTTCCCGAAGGTGGGAAATGTCCCACACCACGCTCACCTCCATGTCACTGATTAAGCCGATGATGTCATCAATCCCCGCTCATCCCCACCCATCACCTCCCATATAGCAGCACACGTGGGAACAGAGCTGAGATTTCCCTCCCCCCCCCCAAATATTTTCGTCTTAGTCAATTACAAATAGTTGAGTCATTGAACCGATAATCGGTAAAGTGGTCAATTAATTGGATAGCCCAGCTTAAATGTCCTGAATAAGAGGCAATTATGTGCATACTTTTCTTATGGCTTCACTCAAATACCTATTTTAAAATCAAAATTTTATTTACAAAAAATAAGGCTCTGAACCTTACTCTTTTGCTTGCCGAATCAGGAATTACTCATGCCACTTCAGGGGTGTTTATATTTTTCAAAAAATTGAGAGATATGCATATAATAATATATAACGGTGGGTTTTATTAGCTTACATTCTGCTGGGTCTTCCAGTCAAAAGGCACAATGCTTTTTATTTCAAAGCACGTCAGCGCAAACAATTAACATTTTCAATGATTAAAAACTTCCCTTATATATGCTCTGAGACTAGGACGCATCATTAAAACGTATATGATCCCTCATTCACCGTTGCTTATGTTCGCAATTGCTTATCGTATCTCATCATTGTGTTATAATTTCATATCAACATTAACCAAGCTGCATTTGCTTGTTTTTGTGTTCCTTTCTTTTTCAAAATTATGGTTATGGGAAATATTGGCTAAAAGCAACACTTTTCCATTGTCCTGATGACACCGATATAATTGTAGCACGGCTGACTCGCTTTGTAAATCAGTCCAAGACCAGACAATACATTTATATCAAGCCACATTACAAGGACAAAGGAGTGCAAGCGGTAGATCTGTTATCGGGAGTGCCCCGTTCAATATGAAGATGACACAATAATGGAATCATGACAAGAGTTTATCAGCATTTAAATAATTTTAATCCTAGATAACTCCTGCTCAGCCACATTGCAGTATGCAAAATGTGCTGCTACTTTTGAGAAAATACAATACCAAGGATGTGACCAATTCACTGAACGCCATTGGCTGGCTCCTTCCAAGTGTAGTGACATAATGGGTCACTGGCGCCTAGCGCCATCTACCGCCAGAGAGAGGAATAGTGGGTATAGTAGCCCTCTGCCAGCAGAGTTATGATGTCATCGAAGACGTCTTTGGGGCTGGCAGAGTAAGGGGCAATTGAGGACGTAGTAGCCCGATTGGCTGGCAGGGGCACGTGATGGGATGTAGGCCAAAGGTGACAGAGAGGACACGTGTTGGAGGGCCCAGAACCTTCTAGTCAGTTCCAGAGGGCGGATCCAGGCAGGGGACACGTGGAAGGCAATCCAGAACCTACTAGAAGGTTCTGCATGGGGGCGTGTCCGAGGGCGGAGCGGGGCCATGCTAAAGGGCATATAAGGGGGGTCCCGGGGCTGCATCGGAGCTGTTTGCTAGAATGGAACCCGCCATGTTACGTCTTCTCTTCGGTCTTCGTGCTCGACATCGTGGGTCAGGCAGTGTGCCGACGGACCTGACCCGTTTGTGTAGTTACCCCGTTGTGGTTGTAGAATAAATGGTGTTGCCTCCTGAATCAGTGTGTCTCTCAAGTGAACCCACTACACAAGTAAGACGTTTGTAAGAATGAGGCCTCAATCATGCGCTTGAACCGGACTGGCTGTCAAGCTTTGAGCTCTTTTGGGGGACTCAGATCTGAAAGCTGATTGGTCAGCTTTGAATGTGTGATTGACTCAGTTTTGAAATTTCATTTGCAAGTCATCATGAAGCCAATCTGCCTTTTTGTTTCCAGTTTCATCCCAGTCTGATTAAATGTTTTGTAACCTTCAACCAATAACCAATTATATTGGGTTCCTGAGTATAATGAGCTGATGGTCTCAGCCTGGTCACCAATATGTGAACGTGTTTTGCTAAATTATACTTAGCTCCGCAAATTGAAGTCCTTCAGTCTTACATGGAACAACACACTGTGCAGAGCAGGTAGAAGTGTGCATTTGAGATCCTTGAAAGTGACTTCAGAACTAGTTCTATGATGTTACATTCTGGGGGATGTTCTCTGACACAAGGTGCTGTTAGACTACTAATCTTATTAAATATTGCCAATAGCACACAATGGTATAAAATAAAAAAAAATGTCAATGATAACTCTTAACAAAAGCAGAACGAGTCTTGCTTCCTTTGCTGCCTTGGGAAAAATAATCGTGTAAAGGTGCACATGTAAATGGTAACATAAATACAAACCTGTGAAACGGCCTCCGGAGTGCCGAGTGGTAGTATGTTATCATCCCAGGAACCATCACATTCACGGGACATCCTGTGCTGTATGGCTCTCTGCTCCAGTCCTATCAAAGTGGAAAGCACAACAAGACATCCCAGGAGAGACGTTATTGCACTCGGCATCGCCTTCTGCCTATTCAGATACAAACTCGTGCAGACAAGCCGAGGATACAAACCCATCGTTTCTACAATTTTGCGGTTCGCAGCACCCGTCCCGCGGCAATGATAGATGATCGGTGGACTTGGCGGTCTAGGAACGCCTACCATGGCCTGCTGATGAGAGTGTCGTGGCTGAGTGGGCTTGGCGTTAAATGTGGCACCGTGAGTGATCTTGACCGCGTATGGCTAAAACACCCAGAGTGCATCCAATATCCAGCCGGATGTCGTAAGCTAAGCAGGCTTTGGAGCCTGGTTAATTAAAATCATATTTATTTACACTGGAGGAATCCGATTAGCTATAATGCTCTTTTTCACATGTCCAGTGTGGGCGGCCCACATGCAAATAACAGGTTGTTATCGGCTGTGCAGGGCTACAAAGTGGGTTGCAGTGGGCAGTGCAGCATAATCAATTGTTGGGCTGTATATCTGAGCTCCATTGTATATCATTCCCACCTTCACCAACCTACACTGCCAGTGTTATTATATATCACTGAACATATAATGAATATATATAATTATATAATCTGCGTCAATCACGTTTTATTTTCAGAGGTGTGAATAACACAAGTACAAAATGTAACGCATTTTAATGACAGCAATAATACAACACGTTCAATATGTATTTGAAAAGGAATATGTAATTAAATATATAAATGTATTGCAAGTCATCATTCAGAGGAAGACAAATATCTTTCAGCAAGGTTATGATGAGTGCAAGGAAGCATGAATTGAGTACTCGATGGGAGGGAAGAGTGACATTGATTTTTTTCAGCACTACCCTCTCGGTTAAGGGCTACAAAAATGCCAGAATATATTTTTACCTCCGACATGAATGTGCATATGCCCTTATAATTATGTACCATGCAGTATCATTGCATTATATGCATGGCACGAGCCAGCGATTCGATATGTTGCCAAGATCTGATTTTGCTCTTCAATTCAAGAAACATATCATTATTTGTCTTCTTACCGTTCCATTTGTAAATGTTTTCTGTCTTGTACAGTCAGTTTGCTCCGGTACCCTAAGTGTACCACTTGCACATGCGTATATTTTGAATACATCTTAAACGATAGATTCTTATGCACACCACATCGCAAGAGAAAGATTCCATTTTAACAAATGAATCGGTGCATCGTCACATGCCTAATGGGCACACATGGGCAATGTAATACGAGCATAGTGAGGGAAAAAAGTACTTGATCCCCTGCTGATTTTGTACGTTTGCCCACTGACAAAGAAATGATCAGTCTATAATTTTAATGGTAGGTTTATTTGAACAGTGAGAGGCAGAATAACAACAAACAAATCCAGAAAAACGCATGTCAAAAATGTTATAAATTGATTTGCATTTTAATGAGGGAAATAGGTATTTGACCCCCTCTCAATCAGAAAGATTTCTGGCTCTCAGGTGTCTTTTATACGGTAACGAGCTGAGATTAGGAGCACACTCTTAAAGGGAGTGCCCCTAATCTCAGCTTGTTACCTGTATAAAAGACACCTGTCCACAGAAGCAATCAATCAATCAGATTCCAAACTCTCCACCATGGCCAAGACCAAAGAGCTCTCCAAGGATGTCAGGGACAAGACTGTAGACTTACACAAGGCTGGAATGGGCTACAAGATCATTGCCAAGCAGCTTGGTGAGAAGGTGACAACAGTTGGTGCGATTATTCGCAAATGGAAGAAACACAAAAGAACTATCAATCTCCCTCGGCCTGGGGCTCCATGCAAGATCTCACCTCGTGGAGTTGCAATGATCATGAGAACAGCGAGGAATCAGCCCAGAACTACACGGGAGGATTTTGTCAAGGATCTCAAGGCAGCTGGGACCATAGTCACCAAGAAAACAATTGGTAACACACTACGCCGTGAAGGACTGATATCCTGCAGCGCCCGCAAGGTCCCCCTGCTCCAGAAAGCACATATACATGCCCGTCTGAAGTTTGCCAATGAACATCTGAATGATTCAGAGGACAACTGGGTGAAAGTGTTATGGTCAGATGAGACCAAAATGGAGCTCTTTGGCATCAACTCAACTCGCCGTGTTTGGAGGAGGAGGAATGCTGCCTATGACCCCAAGAACACCATCCCCACCGTCAAACATGGAGGTGGAAACATTATGGAATGGGCTCCAAGACCATTGCCAAGCAGCTTGGTTTTTCTGCTAAGGGGACAGGACAACTTCACCGCATCAAAGGGACGATGGATGGGGCCATGTACCGTCAAATCTTGGGTGAGAACCTCCTTCTCTCAGCCAGGGCATTGAAAATGGGTCGTGGATGGGTATTCCAGCATGACAATGACCCAAAACACACGGCCAAGGCAACAAAGGAGTGGCTCAAGAAGAAGCACATTAAGGTCCTGGATTCATAATAAAGGTTTTTGGGTTAGATTGCGTTATTTATAAATGTGTCGTAACCCTCCACCACCCAACACGGCCAATGAGCAAAAAAAGTGTCACGTTGACAAAAGACAAATAATTCACTACTTTAGCCCACCGGTGTGTTGAAGAGTGAATCCACATTTACAGTTTGAGTACGACGTTTCGCTGGTAAATACATCCAGCATCATCGGGCAATTCGCCAGAATGGTAAAGCCCTCGCTTGCTCCCGGTTTTATATAGAGCAGCAGGGTGACGTCATCACTTAACTCATATCAGGTGCAGTGATTAGAGGCGGAGGGGGGGGGGGTATTGTAATTATATAATCGATTAGTAATCAGTCATTGGTTATGATTAGTAATGAGTTGTAGATTAGTAATTAGTTGTAATGTGTGTTAGTGATTATATGCTATGTTAGTAATCCGTTAATTAGTATGTGTTTCCCCTATAAGGAATTGTAATGTGCATTCATATTCTTAGCTTCCTCGGAGTGGCCTAGCCAGTCTCCAGACCTTAATCCCATAGAAAATCTTAATGACTTGGAGAAGACCTGCAAAGAGGAGTGGGGCCAAATCCCTCCAGAGATGTGTGCAAACCTGGTGGCCAACTACAAGAAACGTCTGCCCTCTGTGATTGCCAACAAGGGTTTGCTACCAAGTACTAAGTCATGTTTTGCAGAGGGGTCAAATACTTATTTCCCTCATTAAAATGCAAATCAATTTATAACATTTTTGACATGCGTTTTTCTGGATTTTTTAGTTATTCTGTCTCTCACTGTTCAAATAAACCTACCATTAAATTATAGACTGATCATTTCTTTGTCAGTGGGCAAACGTACAAAATCAGCAGGGGATCAAATACTTTTTTCCCTCACTGTACAAATATCTGACATTTATATTTTGAGTGTGGGACTGAGTCCTGGGCCTGTTGGGACAGCAGCAAATACATGCAAATGGCAAGTAGGACAGAACTGATGCTTTTAAAGAAAAGGAGTGTCACGCAAAGAAATATAGCTGAAATGAGAGGGGAAGGAGAGCGAATAATGGCACAGGGAGGGAAGGCTTTTACGGTGAATGCTGAAGGCAGCAGCGGCAAAGAGCCACATTAGTCTTGGGGAGAGTTTTCCACATTACCTTCTCGGCATATTCCAGATATCCGGCAGCCTTTTCTCCGAGGAATTTCACGAGGCTTTTGATCACGGCCTCCCGCCTTTCTTCAAGCTGACGTGGCACAAAGAGACCCCAATTCACAGCTATTTGTAAGCCAATGAAGGAGCCAGCATGATGTCTTTAAAGGGAATGAGATTTTTTTGGCTTGTTTTAATTTTTTTACAGAATTCAAAAGGCATGTGAAAGTGAATTCACAGCACGTACAAGCTCAAGTGAGAGTGGGATGGTACCCATCTGTATTGCTGACCCTTAGCCAAAGGACCGAAATTCCACCTTTACCATGGTAAAGAAAAGTCTCACTGCATGGCCACTAATAATTGCCCACATAGCGGTACTATAATCATATTGACCGCGTAGGGAATGATTAATTTGCCCACGATCAGGATTTGAACTCACAACCTTTTGATTATGCGTCATGTATTCTTAATGTAGTTCGACAAGGCCAGTTTGTTTTAATGCTATAATTGAGTTGCAAACAAATGTATAAAAAGGACAGTAAACACATTTTCTAATAAATTCATTACATTTTAGACAAATTTACAAAAGGCACAAACAAATTATTATTTTGATAATTATCATTTTGTCAAATGAAAATCCAGTGGGACAATAATTCACTTTTGAAAGACAAATCTGGAATCATATACCAATGACACAAACAATATGTAGGCTGGGTGCAAATATTCCAGTACAAGCACGAATTTGTGCAAAAAATAAACAAAGCAATAAACAAATACAAGCTGCTGAAGCTAACATACTTTAAAAAAAAAACTGTTGACACGTAACTCATACAGGAATGTGCTTCTGTGGCAGAGAGGAAGATTATAAGTCCGAATCCTGTTTGCATTGTTCATTTGACCCATCATTTCTTCAAGGTCTATAAAATAGGCACCATTTTGTGGGAAGTCAGTAGTGATGGTGGTTAATGGCCCCAACCATAGGAATATGGAATTTCCACCACTGGATCAAGACCACCAACAGAGATGAGCCCTTGTTTTCAGCAGGGAGGCACTTTTAATCCTTATTTATTATTATTACAAGCGTGGTGTTTAGCCTTTTTTTACTTAATGAGACAGGATCTTAGTTTAACTCGTCATTCAAAAGCTGGCCCTTCCTACAGCACTGTGCCCCATTGCACTGTGCCGCAGTGTTGATGTATATCCAGTTGGGGGTAAAGAGACAGTGCCCACACAGACAAAGGACTAATCCTAACAAACTCTTCTCCTTCTCCTCACTCAGCCCAATTAGTGCAGTGGAAGGTTATTCCACTTCTCTAGGGAATCAAAATGGGGACATCAACCAACAGCTGTTACCGTTAAACGACATAAACCCATATTGATGATTGAGGACGATTCCCCCGGGTAATGCAGCTGATCACGCCGAGTATGATAAGTACGTTACGTCGTGAACCGTTTCCCGGTTCCTGGGGAAGATGGCAGCAGCGTCGCCAACTCATTCGAGTGGAAAGTCACCAAACGAAGCTAAAAAAAGTCACTAGATGTCGATAGGTAGACCTTCCAATGTCATCAAAAATGTCACGAGCAAATGTATCAAGTATTACGCACATCTCTGCACTTGTGGACAATTTTCAAACATGTCTTAAAACGTATTCATACACTTCCATTTATTCAACTATCAGCTTAATTAAGAAAATGGATGTTAGCATTAATTATTAATTTGTTGTAAGTTTCCCGAGTTATTTTTTTGCTTAGTGTTTTCTGCTGTCTTGTACAGTGCATTGAGATCCTCGATGCAGGGCGTTTGATAAATTAAATTTCTATTATTAAACTGTTATAGGATCCATAACACATTCTTGGAACGGCTCCCAAATCTGTTTTAACATCCTCCACAGTGAAAGTGGATAGATCTGTTGCTTTGGAAACATCACGGGGGGAAACCAAAAAAGCCGCCAGATCTAGCGACAAAATGGTGAATTCGGCAACACGCTATGGCTCACGGGCCACAGCTGAAAACACCCTCACATTCTGTGGCTCAGGCTTTAGGGACGGGAGGACATACATTCAACTTTACATTTTTTAAGCGACCTGGCTACAAATGATGGCTCAACGAAGTGGCTTAGGTGGAAATGTATAGCAGCCAAATACTCTAAACCAGTGGTCTTCATTGCAAGGCCCGCAGGCCAATGGCGACCCCTGGTGGTGGCCTTTAGTGTGGCCCCTGACGTGCGACCGCTGACAGTAGACAAATGTGAAAACACCCCTGGCAGCAGGCGGTGTGGTGGCCCTCACACTGGTGAAGTCTTATTGGCAAAAGTGCCCCCCCCCCTCCAAAAATGTGAATACCACTGCTTTAAACGGACATGGGTCTGGTTGTGCCCTCCTCACCGTCTTGACCGTCCAATGCCCAGCCTGGCTGCCCGCGATGAATCCCACGAGGGCGGCGTTGCCGCGCGAGGTCGTGGCGTCGTACGTCACGCTCAGAGGGCTGCCACCACCGCCGTTGCACACGATCTCCCCGGAGTAGCCAGCCTCACGCCAGAACGCCTGGCGCATGCGAGGGCGAAGTGAAGAGAACCGGAGACAAATCCCCCGTATAGCCTCAACAGACTGTTGGGGCCAGCACGTCACATGAGGGGGTGGGTGGCCAACACCATACCTGGCGGCCTTTGTCTCCAAAGTGGCGATGTTTACACACCATACCAAGTACCCATTTGAAGCTGAGTCAACCTAGGGGAGGCCCTGGATCGGTTCAGATAATTGTCACTGCTGTTAACCGTGAGCGGGAGTCGAACTTGAGTCGCCGGGTTCGAGCACAGTGTGCTAACCACGATGCTGCTGCTCCCCCTAGTTGGAGTGCTAAATATGTCTTGCGCTCACCTCTCGTGCAATATCGTTTTCACTCTCGCACAAGCCAGGCTTCGGTTTACATATTTTAATTTCCTATGGGCAATGTCGTGAGCCGTTGCTTGCGGACCACTGCACTATCCATCTAGAATGATGCAACGCTCTAATCATACACACGTCAAATAGCGCGTGACGATTATTTACTATCCATGCAAAGTATGTACAAATAGCATGCCCCTTTCCCCCTGTAGCTGGAGGAAAGTGGTCATGGAAAAAATATAATGTACATAAAATTATACCCATTGTTTTACACAATGGCCAGCGAATATTTATGATTTCTTACATTTCTTCACAAAATTTACCACCCCAAAAGATGCCACAAACCGCACTTCCCTCTTTTCCCGCGATGACGTCGTGATTTTCCAGCTGTTCTGAGAGCTTTCATAAATGTGCTAGAAGGCCCCACACCAAAGTCAAGTCAGCCCAGTAAGGCCCACTTCCTTAGTTTATGAACTGGGCCAGCTCACTTTCCAGTGGTTGTGGGGATATAGCACAACATATCTGTAGCAATATCCCGCTCTGTCCTCCTTCAGTCATGATCTATCCACTGCCAAATGAAGGCCTCCCCCATTGTCGTCATCCCCCACAGTCACCTGATGCAACATTTCATCTAAGTCCTGCAGATGAGTTGATCTCATTGTTCTTTCTCCATGCGTTTAGATTATTTCGATTATTTTGCGATAATTTTCCACATGATAAGCCACTTCGTTGATCTAACATTTGTGGCCAGGTTGTTCCTGAAAAATAAGCTATTAGGTCAGTGGGCCTTGCTTGGCTGGTAAGATACAAATAATCTTGGTTCTTTCGGTAAAGTCACGTAGAAAGAACCAAGAATATGAATCCTTGCAGTCACGAAAGCTTTAAATCAAAATATGCAAATAGTTTAATTGTTTTATTTTTAAAGTGATTTGTTTCCCTTTCCAAAACTTTGCACTCCTCTATCGTATTTTATATTGTTTGTTTGTTGTTGTAACGTTCTGAACTGTGAAAAAGAGCGTTATAGCTCATTAGATTCCTCCAGTGTAAATAAATATTCTGATTCTGATGTCCCCTCCTTTGTCAGACATTCATTTCGTCAGTCTTGACTATTGGCCATGATCCCTTCAAGCACTTTCTCCTGCCCAAGTCCACTTTTCTCAACAGTTAATATGATGTCTCTAAAGTGCATTCATTCTCGATGTATTTCCTTTGATGTCTGTCAGTGTCATTCCGTGCATATGTGGAAAAATAATCTCCAAAGTGCGCAGAGCTCTGTGCCAGCACATCCTGCTTTCGGAGCTTATCTTTCCATTTTCTCTGTCAGTGTCCATGTTGCCAATCCATATGTTTATAGCAGGTGATGTGCACTGATTGCAAAACTTCCTCTTTGGGCATATAGCTTCACTCAACTATATGCAAACCTTGATGCGTTTTCCAATTATGTCCTCCAAACAAACATTTGTTTTACAAAATGTATTTTGTGCATCACCTTCGTTTTGCTCAGATTCATCATTTAAGATTTTAAGGTATTTGCTGAAATTAATTTCATTGGCAGTTATATAATGACCGTGGCACATCAGAACATGAAATTGTTGTTAATATTTTCCCCATTTATGTTCATGTCTTTATTTCTCCAATCCAATTTTCGGTAAGAAAATACTCAGATGCGAGCCACTTAACCAAACCGCAATAAAAATGTCTTCCTTTAACAAGGTTTTGATTTATGGACTACGCTGCAAAGCGACGGCCATTAAGTCTTTAAAATATTTCCTGGCTATGGACCATAGGCGCTCTGTGGATGTGCTGCCACGCTCTGCTGTGATGGCAGCGCATTATCTCTGTCTCACCGTTGGGTAGGTGACGATGAACTTGATGAGATGTCCCATGGGCATATTCTGTGTGAGACGCTCCCTGTCCGCAGGAAGTGCTGGCTCATAGTGGATCTTAGCTGGGAGGGTGGTAAACGTGCACACGCATAGATAAGACAAAGATCCCCCATATAGCCTTAACAGACTTTTGTGGCAAGTGCTTTTAGTGAGCACCTATGATGGCTGGCACAGCACACGAGGGGGTGGGTGGCCAGCACCCCGCCCGGCCGTCCTTGTCTCCTGACTGGCGATGTTTACACCACACCAGGCACTCATTTGAGGCTGAGTCGACTTAAGGGAGGACCAGGACCGGTTCAGACAATCGTCACCGGTGTTGACCGCTGTTAGTGACAACCTTTTAACGCAGCTATCGCGCACAAGGGGGTGGTGGGGCCAGCACCACGCCTGACCGATTTCATCTCCCCAGTGCTGATTTTTACACACACCACCCAGTAATTATTTGAGGCTGAGTCGACTTAGGGAAGGCCCACGACAGGACCGGTTCAGATATTTGCTACTGATGTTGGCTGTGAGTCGGAATTGAAATTCTGGCCGCCAGGATCATATCACAGGAAGCGACACCCTATACTGTACTACCACTCCCCACACACAATACACATACACACGTGCACCCACACTCCGCACGTACATATACACATGCACAGGTGCACATACACAGGCGCACAGATTTGTACACACACGTGCCCACATGCATTTGCGAACATACAGTACATACACTCACGTGCCCACAGAGTGACACATATACTATTCATATATAGGTGCTCAGAGCGTGTTTGTGCCCTTGAGTGTGCTATTTACATAGCGTAGGTATTTAAAGGTCAAGCCAATGTCTTTTCCCTGCTCACATGAACAAAGGAGAGCTCACAATGTTCATTGTTTGCACTTTGTCAGTGCTGATAATTCCACATTCCCATGGCAGGAACCAGTCAGTTTATGGGACTACTACTTTTGGCTTCTACAAAACGGTACTCATTTTACTGAGAAATTATATTACGAGGGTGATCCATTTAAAAAAAAAAAACTCCTACAAAAAATATCTGAAATGACAGGGAAAACAACAATTGACTTAAAAGCCCCGACACGCCTCCCACCGATGATTTTATGAACACACCCATTTAACCCTTTGGGACCGTCTATAAATGACGTCACGCACCTAGGGGGGGGGGGGGGGTCAGACATTTGTGACGATGTGTGACGAGGGGGGGTGAGAATGTGACGTCACATAAAAATGCGCAACTTTAAATATAGACAACACGTTCTACTTAATTAAACAGACTTTGTAATAAATGTTTTCTCCTACAACATCAGAGTGCAGCACCACATTAAATAAGCACTACAATGACAATAGTTTAAAGCGATTTGAAGCATGTTTTATATTTGGGGGGGGGGGGGGGGGGGGTGGCAGAGCTTTGTGACGTCATATTTGAGAGGGGGTCTGACTTATTTTGACGCCGTGTGACGAGGGAGGGGGGGGTCAAAAATCGTCCAAAATCGCGTGACGTCATTTATAGACGGCCCCTTTAACAATCTCCTCGAAGATATACGGAGCCATTGCCAGCACCGTACTCGGTCGCCTTTTGAGAAGAGGGTCATGCGAAATCAGTGCGGTGCCTAGAAATGGGTTGAAGAATCGGTGTATGTGTATATAATGCTACATTTCTGATATGTGTGACTACTTCCCAGGTATGGACACATTCAATATACATGTACAGTTTCTTTACATAAATAAAGTACAATTCTGGTACTATTTTTTACATTATATATTGCCATGGTTTTGAAAAGGGACATTTTTATTTCCCTTGAGAGTATACTCCAGTCACTGGGCAGAGTTATAAATAAGCAGGCAAGCCAGTGCATTAAAGGCGCCTCTGTGTTGTTAATGCATTCGACCATACAAAGAAATATGCGAGCACACACATAAACATGCGCGCGCATTAGACACGAGCTTACAACCACGTGCTTGCGTTCTAACGCTCGTGCGCTCGTCATGATGGTACACGGTATGAGGTAATTATCTCCTTTCTGAAAATAGAACACCTTTTTTAAAAGTAATTTTGTTGCCAATATTACCAAAAAACCATATGGATCTGGGCAATGCAATGAATAAGCTGTGCGGTAAGTTTCACTGCGCTGGGTGTGGGGCATTTGTAGTTTTAATAAACATGTAAACTGTCATCAGACGGACAGAGAGACGGATGTAGCCCTGATATGTTTTTTGCGGTCGTGTGAATTTGCCATCGCTCAGCAGTAGCGCCACTTACCGGCAAGGTGCGTGGGGCACGTGACGATGACTCTCTGGCAACTGAGCTTGCGATGGGACGCAGTCCGCAACTCAACGCCATCGTCCGTCTGTGTCCCATACACATCGGGCAATCGCATTTGTCATTGATTGTATGTATGTTGCACTTCTTTAGCACCGTACATAGCCAACCGTGCTAATCGGAGGTGCGAAAATTACCACAAATAGGGAGAATGCAGATCGGTTTGTTGCAAATTAGTTGGTTTTGCTGTTAGGTTGAGACAAGAGTTTGTGTGGTCTAATTTTGATAAAGGCAGGGCTCGGTTTGGTGCAGAATTACTCAAAGACCTCTGCCAAAACTTTGCTACATTGTTCTGCAATGAGACGACTTATTCACTCTACATCATGGCTTTTATCCTCATCTTTCTATCGAAACAGAGGCACTTTCCTCAATGGGCTCTCCCACAGTTATATAAATCAAACTCTTTATTGCACTATGAGCATTTCTGATGCATAACTGAGCCATGTAACAATGCACCACCATCACCAAACTATGAATTCACACAATTGGCATTGCGTTTCAATTCAATGGGAGTTGTTTGGCCATACTTCACTTGACAGATTAGTCCAAGTTGGTGCAGAGGGTGCCAGGGTTAGCTCATATCACTTTCCACTGATGTCAGCTGTGGCCAGGAATCAAAATCAAGTCCCACGGTTCATAGCATAATGCATGAACCACTAGTCCACTATCCCCACAGGTATTCATGTTTATCATCAAATACTGTAATGAATGTTGTTTGGACGATTAACGCCTAACACCTACTCCACACACAGTCTAATAACGTTCACCAATTTTCAACAAAATCCTACAAACGTCATAATTTCTGTGTTAAATTAACGTGAAAACGAATTTATGTTTTTAAATCCAGACTCGGTTTCAGGAACACGCTTTTGAACCAGCAAGTGTTCAATGTGGCAGTAAGCACTGCCACCTGGTGTGGGGTTTAGACAGCGAGGAGTGGCCATGCAGCCCGCGCTGGTGATAAGCGGCATGTCGAGCCGTTAACACGCCAGGCAGTGATTTCAGCACGCACCACTGCGGTCCCTTGACATTGTGGCTCGGTAGGCCATTCTGGCAAATTGGAGAGATCGTGGGCCTCTCTTGTGGAAGCTGTGGCATGGCACCCTTTTAGTCCTTGTAGAAATGGAACATTCAAAGCCACAAGCTTAACGGCAGGGAGCGGGAGTTGGAAGCCAGAGGCGGTCCCTGTTCCCACGGAGCCTATCGTGAGCAGGCCATGACAAGGTAAGGTAAAAGGTAGATACGAGTCTACCTTTACCCTACCTTTTACCCTTACCCCATACAAATTACCCGATTATAGGGTAATTACTGGGATACTACACATGAAAAAGGTCTATAACAGGTATATATGCGAGGTAGAGCGCTTTGTTCGTATAGGATACTCTCGAATTGGGCGTTGAGGCTGTCGACGACACCGTCCTCCATAATCTCCTCGTCCCAGTCGTCTTGGTCGATGACGATCTCATCAACAACCTGATCAAGTTCGTCATTGCCGTCGTCCTCAGACGAATTACGGGCAATAAGATCCTGTGCTGCTCTGGCCCAGTTAGACGGGACCTTCAGGCAGCCGGCCGTGATCCACAAGCGCAAGCACATGGACTGGATGAAGAGCGTCGACAACAGCGACTGGCGAACGCACGTGAACTCCCACCCATCTCTGCTATTTGCGCGTTCGCAGGGAGTTTACGTCGCCGGCGCTCCCAAGTAGTCGTAGGCCATCTTGTCGTGGACGGGGAGCAGCTCTTTGCGGGGAGACCACCACTGCATTACGTCAATGAAGGCGCTGGCGGTCGTGACGCTCATGCTCAGAAAACAATCGACTTCATCGGCGTCGTCGATGGAGCTGCCGACGTTGCTGAACAGGGTGCTGAACAGCGACCCCTCCTCCATATGGAAAGCGACTACCGTTGGCGGGATCGGGAGCACGTCCGAGTAGCGATGCTGCAGGACAGAGCGAATCGTGGCCTTCAGTGTAGCCAGCTCGTCTTGGTCTATCGTTTTCGGCAGCTGTGGATTCCAGTAGGATGCCACAATGGCGGGTTCCTGAACCAGGAAGTCGCGTTACCGCACCAGCTCGGCCTTCATCCCTGTCGCGGTCAAGGACTCATCGATTGCTCTAAGAGCGGCTTCACCGCGATCGCAATGACGGATCAGGTGCTCCATCGTCACCGGCACGAGATCCAATGTCGACTTGCGGTCCGCCGACAACAAGGTCATGACCTGGCACAGCATTCGCAGGAATGCTGTCACGCCCTCGATGTTTGCCCACTGCAGTTCAGAGAAAGCACCGACGCTGATCACATCCTGGAAGCGCCATGATAATGTCCAATGGGACACGCTTCTTGATGGCGTCGTTGCCCATGTCACACGTCGAATTCCACCTGGTCGGCGAGTCCTGGTGTGTCGGCTCCTTCCTGGCGAGCTTGGCGATCTCGGCCTCACGGCGGTACGATTGCCGGACAACTTTGCTGCGCCTGATATTGACGAGCGCCTCGCGCAGTTCAGCGTTGGTCGATTTGATCAGTTTGAGAACTTGGACGATGTCGATCTGGACCGAATGATCCGCGCAGCGAATATGGTGGCAAGCCCACAACTGCTCATATCCACCATCCGCATTGACCAGGGTGAACGTCTTGACAGCACTGATCGCATCGGAGCCATTGTCGCTGGTGACAGCGAGCAGCTTGTGCGAGACATTGTGCCCGAGGCTTTGGAGGTGCTCAAACAGAGCAGTGCCAATGCGCTTGCCATCACCCCTTCCGGACTGCACATTGAGGATCATCAGCAGCATGGATTTCGACGCACCAGATTTGGTGTCGATCCAGTGCACCGTGACCATCCAGAATCCCTTCAGGTTGTGAGATGGCTACGTCCAGGTTGGAGAAGAATGCCCCGACGATGGGCAGCATGATGGCATGAAGCTCGACAATCTTGAGAATGACGGTGCGGGTTGACGGGCCCTCGCATCCCTGCGTCAATGTGTGGACCAAGGTCTTGAACTTGTCGCTGCCGGCGGGTCGCAAAGATATTGCACCTTACATAACAAAATGAACCACAGTGTTCTCAAACTTTACCAGGAGGCGATCCGGGATTGCTGGCCGGCTCAGCGTTTACTGCATTAGGTGGCTCGCCGACGCCGACGTCCCGACCTCGCTGCCTGGGGCGAGCACGTTGTGCTTCTTGAGGTGGGCTTTCCACCCCGACTCGTTCAAGTGGGAGGAAAACCACTCGCGGCAGTGCACGCACTGCCGTTTTCCTTGCTGCTCACGGGGATCACCCTCCATGCAATCGTGCGTGTGCTCCTATGTGAACGCATTCCGCTGCCTCTTTTGATTGCTGTTCCCAGCGACCCCGGAAATGTCGTTCCTGGCATCCTCGACCTCACCCTCTTCCTCAAGAACGTGGTCCGTCTCCATCTGGTCTGACATCAATGGTTCCAATTTCAAATGGAGGCCATGGACTGTGCCATGGAGCTATTAGGTATTTACCGGGTAATGCTTCCGCGCTACCTTTACCCTACCCTTTACCTTACCCCTTGGCATGGTCGACACCTTTACCTTTACCCTTTTACCCGGTAAAAAGAGTAAATTACCTTACCTTGCCGAGGCCTAATCGTGAGGTGCGCTTGCAGGGAGGTATGGGGAGGTGACGGGCGCTTGGGGTACTACCCCTCCCCTCTCTGGGCATAGACAGGAGGAGTTAATCACTGGCCCGTGGAACTTTTGCTGACGATAAGTTCACTTGGCGTGCGTAGGCTCCGCTACCTTTGTCCCTCTTCCCTTATCTTCCCCTCCCCAAATAAAAACCGGCCACTCCCGCTCGTAGTCCCCAAGTGTGTGAGGCAGTGAGCCCAATTGCCTTCCCATCTTTGGATCCAGGAGCACTGAACTGAGGCTTTAGCCTGGGGAGTTTTTGTACCCCTTGCCTGTGCCTTGTACCAGGCTATTCATACTCTTTGGTTCTATTGGGTAAAGTCACGTAGGTGAAAAATAGAACCAAAGAGTATGGATCCTAGCAGTCACGAAAGCTTTAAATCTACCAGGCTATTGTTACATTGCAAAATAACAATACAAAACAAATGCCAGACAGTGTGCCCGATGGGGTTTATTTCTGGCCAGGCTCAGCCACAGTTTTAAAACAATTGGCCTTGAGAGATGAATTTATATTATCACTGAGCACTTCTCCCATGTGCCTGTTTCTCTCCCGCTAAAGATCTTGGCATATCGACAAAAACGAGTCACGTGTAGGCTCCTCATAGTGTGCTCTGTCTGTCGTATAAAAGCCTGGCTTATTGATTATAATCTGGCTTACAGTGAAATGCGCAAGGCAAGTATTTGCGATCGCAGGATTAATGCTAATCATGATTAATGATAACGAATTTAGGCTGCGTTTTGTTTCCCCTGTTATTATCACGTAATTAATATAGCGGAGAGGGAGGTGGGGCTGGAGAATTGCACTTTGATCGTCAAGTGCATGAGACACCTGTCTGCCGGGGCAGTGAGGTGCCTGTATGAAGGCAGTCCAGCAAGTAGGTCACTGATCTCTCATGATGTACTGAGTGTTCTCCACTCGTGTTGCGTGAGTATTTTCTTCTTCTTGGTACTTCAGTTATTTCCACGCACGAAATTATCCAAAATCAAATGACCAAACACCCTCAGCAACGACATCCTGAAAGTAAGTCAAGGTTAATCAATTTACTTTAATTAGTATGATTGTGTTGGCCTCGCAAATTTTATTTAATGCACATAAGAGAGAGTTTGACAGGTGGCTTCGTGCTTTGAGCACTTGACTCAATCGAAAATTATCAGTTGAATCCCTGGTCGACTTAGCCCATCACCTCTCTGAGATTGATAAAAAAAACAAGTACCACTTTCTTGGAAGTCAGCAGTGGTCATCCTATGGATATAATGATCCAAGCTTTGGGAATGTGGAATTTCCACCAATGGTTCAAGGGTGCCAACATAAATGAGCTCGCCTGATTGCTCATTTCAGCAGGGAAACGAGTCGAGCTCTTGGGAAGGTGTGCGACATTTACCTGTGTGATGTGAGTCACTGCATCCCCAAGGATGATCTTGCTGTGACCAATCCTCTTGGCAAGCAGACTGGACAGCTGAAAAGCCCCACCCTGCTCCCACGAACACAACCACACACAGAGATCCCTTCCTCTCTGCATGCGATACAACAAGTTTGCTGAACAAAAGGAAATAATTATTGGAACAAAACTGAAATAAACAAATGTTAAGTTGCATCCTTCCAAAAGTTATAACAAAACATGCATTAATATTGCTCTTCCAATCTAAAATCACTTCAATAAGCCATCATCATGCTCCACTCAAATATTAAACATTAAGCATTAACCGTTTACCACACTTCATCTTCTAAGCCTTATAATATGACGACAGAATATATCACACATTATCATAACACATCCACGCAGCATTCAAACATTTATCACGCATTCATTTGTATAAGCCTTACAAGCAGGTTATACATCATACATCATCATACCACGCTGAAATATTATCATACGTCAATCACCAAAGGCCTGACTTAAGACCATGCAGAGGATGGCATGACTGAATTTGTAACAGAATAATAATATAAATCATAATTGACACTTCGAAAGCACCTCTCACCCGGAGGTCACAAGGTGCTGTACAAAATACACACACACACAGGCACTCGCACCAATCAGATCCAACCCCAAAATAAATTCCTCAAGAAATAAAAAAATCCCATAAAAATAAGCACATCATTATGTATGTGTAGTGACATAGAATGAGTCACTAGAGTGCGTGGCATGGGATGCTCGAGGCGAGGAGGACTATGGGTGTAGTAGCCCGGTCTACCAGTGAGACACATGGGCAGAGCCTGGAACCTCCTGGTGGGATCCAGAGGGAGGCGTGGCCGAGGGCAGAGCCAGGCCATGCCAGGGAGGATAAAAGGGAGGCTCTGACACTCAGTTGGGGCTGCTGTTGTCTGGGAAAGGAACTCGTCGTGCTGCCATCGTCCTCGTCTTCACATCCTCAGTGTCGCTGGTCGGGTAGCATACGGACTGTGGGTAAATATCCCCTATGACTATATGGAATGGAATAAAGGATATGCCTCCAACTCTTAGTGTGTCCAGATTGATACACTACATTTAGTTTCAGGAGTGATAATGAAAACAACCTTTTTGGTAGGGTTGTTAGGGATTTTTTTGGATTTTTTTTCCCTTCAACTCTGGAGATAAGGGGAATAGATGTCGACGAAGGCGAAAAGAGAGGCTCCTACCGTCGGGTCCTCGGGTGAAGAGGGCAGTGGCAAGGGAGGTTCCTGGACAGCCCCGGCAACCGGGACCCCGGCGAGGGTTCCCGAAGAGGCCATTCCGGCGGGACAGTGTGCGAGGAGTGACAACTCCATGTTGCCGCCGACTAAGGAAGGACAGCGTGCGTGCAGTGCGCACTGGTTGAGTGACTGGTCGAGGAAGAGGCTGCAGTTGGATGTGGCGTGCCACATTTGGCCGCCACTGAGTCAAGCAAGTGGACGTCGGGACCTGCCGAATTTAAACATCCGACGGCATCTCTTTTGCTGGTGCCTCCCCTCACGCAGCGGTTGCCATTCCTGAAATAATTTTCAGCTGCGGGGGGTGACAGGGAGGCCTTCAAGCGTCACTTTGCCGCTACTCATGAGCTGGTGGGGTGGTCTGACATGGAGGCGCCGTGGGCTATGTCTACCACCCTGGATGATGACGCCTTGGCGGTGTTCTATGCCATTCCTTCGACAGATAAGGCGATGCTGCAGCATGCTTACGCCCAGATGGCGGCGATCTTTGTTCCCCCGTCCAATGCCAGGCGGAAGTTTGTGATGCAGAGTCGGGGGGAGACCGAGACGCCCCTCGCCTTCCGCAGAGCCTTGATGTCGCTGGCGCAGACTACATACCCAAAGATGGAGCGAGAAGGGCTGGACTCTTTGGTGTTGGAGAAATTATTGCCGTTGGCCTGAGAAATGAACGTTTGTCTACCGGCCACGGAGGAGGATGATCTGTCTTCAATTAAGGTGGTCCGATGTATCCAGGCCCACTGCAACCTGCAACGGTGAGTTGGGGTGGCGGGCTGTGCAGGATTCCTGGGAGGAGAGGGCGACCAGGGGTACCAAGAGCCCTGTCGGGCCTGCGCTTCAATATCTTGGTGTCTGCGCGGGAGGGTCAGCACAGAACGACGGTGGGATCAGCGGAGCGGGTTCTTCCCTCCGCCATGGAGAGCCCCCGTCATTTGCTTCAGCAGGCCACATCTCTAAAGGATGCCGCGCTGATCCGGGGCAGTTATTCCCGCCTTCGCCATCCTCCACCCTGCCAACCTCTGCTCCTCCGGGCTCAATGGCAGGTCGCGATGTATCACACATACAGCCGACACAGTGACCGCATACATCTTCATCGCAGTTTGTGTCGGATGCGCACGCCATTGACCCTCATGTTGATATGGGGAGCGAGAATTACACATTAGCACGTGATAATTGGCCACGGGGGTCTGGGCAGTGTGACGCACTGGCACACCGGTTCATGGCGGTGGGAGCGGGATTGTCCACGGTAAAGGGGTTTGTGCAGAGTATTGAGGTGCGGGTGTTCATAGATACAGGGGCATCCGCCACCATTATTTCAGAGTTTATTTATAGGACTTTGCCGTTGATGGTGGGTTGCCTTGGTCCTGTGGGTAGTCCATGTGTCGCCGCTAATGGCGGGAGTTTAGGTATTGTGAGCCAAATTGTTGCGACAGTACGGATTGGGGATATTGAAAGGACAGGCCCGGTGTTGGTTTCGAGTTAATTGGCAGTGCCTTGTTTATTGGGGATTGATTTTTTGAAGAGGATGCCCCCTCAAGATTTTGATTGACCAGGGGTGTGTTGAGGTTACCATCGGGGCATCGGTTGGGATTTTGATGTACTCTACTAGGTTGCATATGGCTAACGCAGTGGTTCGGGCCCTGGTGCGTGAAACTGTTCGGATTCCCCCGGGTGCACAGATGCTTGTACCCTTGCGGCTGCGGAAGCGGCTCGATCGGAAAATTACTGTGGGGTTCTTTTAACCCCTTCGAATAGAGCAGTTCATGGTCTTGCTTTAATAGCGGCACAGACGATAGTGAGGGGGGATCAGGAGCCCTTCTTTCAGGTGTTGAATGCTGGACCGGGTACCGCGGTTATACAGGTGGGTACGGTTTTGGCCCACGCGACGGCTGCGTGTTGTGTAGAGACTGATGATGAGGCCACTCGGATCGTGGCCGTGGTTGAATGGGAAGTGGTGTCGGATGACTTGTGGATGGATCCGTTGGGTGCGGGGGAACCGTGCACCGTTGTAGCGTCGGTGGACGCTCCGCCAACCGTAGAGAAGGTGGCGTATGATAATACTATTGGCCTTGCACACGAGGAGTGGGGGCGCCTTCAGGTGGAGGACGCCTCCTTATGGAAAATACGGTGCCGCGTTGATGTGACGAGCGGTAGGAAGGGTCCAGGGGGTGTGTCCCTTGTGGTCTTCCGAGATGGGCTACTTATGCAATGGGATACGGAGGTACAGCGGTACTGTATTGTTGTGCCAACTGCTCTGCGGGGTAGAGTAACGTGAGCTGTCCATGTGCGATCGATGCACCTAAGGGTGCAGAAAATGTTATCTACTTTGAAGCGTGACTTCTTTTGGCCCGGAATGTCAGAAGACGTCCACAATGTATTGAAGGGATGTGTGGAATGTGCTCGTTAAAAGCCCCCGCCGAGGCTGGCCCCAACCACCTTTGTGTATTGGGGTGTCACGTGTAAACGAGCTCGTTGCCCTCGACATCCTGGGGCCATTTTCCACCACTTTGAGGGGGAATACATTTTTGCTGGTAGGGGTAGAATACCTGTCACGGTAGCCGGTGGCATGGCCCCTGCCGGATCAATCGGCGGCGTTCATTGCGGACGCGTTTTTGTATGGTTATGTGCGGGATAAGGGGGCCCCGGAACGTCTCCTTAGGACCAAGGTAGAAAATTTTCGTCGAAATTGTTGCAGGAGGTATGCGATTTATTTTGTACAAATAAAATTCGGACTTTGCCCTACCATCCCCAGACAGATGGAATGGTAGAGCGCCTACACAGGACTTACATTCATACTGTGCCAACAGGTTAACGAGGCACAGTCCGATTGGGACCTGCACATTCCGAGTGTTCTTGCAGCTTACAGGTTGGCCCCTCATGCCTCTACCGGATTCTCCCCGTTCTTTTTGAGGTATGGGAGGGAAAGTGACCCCCCCATGGAAGCCCAGTTACATATTGAACCACGTAAGACGAGTGTCGCTGTGCCGGGACTTATGAGCCTAACCTTTAAACGATTGACGACAGAGAAGGAGGCGTCCCGTGGAAATTCGGCCAAGCGGCAAACCGCGAATGAGCGACTGGTGGGGCTTAAAGAATCAGGAAAACCGTGGAAAGTTGGTAAGAGGGCATGGCTGCATTACCCCCAGGTGCGAATAGGCATGTCTCCTAAATTGTATAGGTTATGGCAGGGCCCGGTGGAGGTGACTGAGGTTAGGAGGCCGCAATGTGTACAGATCTAGATGGTTGTAGGCGTTGGTATGTGCACCCGTCACGGCTGAAACCTTATTTTCCACCTTATGAGGTCGTTTCATCTCCAATATCTGAAAGCCGGGTGTTTGATGTGTCTGATGGGCCTGGACGTACGATCACGGAGGTTGCGCCTCTGCGAGACTCTGTTCCTCCATCTGCAGGATCCCAGGCCCTGATGCCCATGGAGTTACCAGCGGTGCCACCCACAGGCGGGCCAGGGTGGACGGGACAACCGCCACCCATTTCTTCTTCCCCTCCATCGTCGTTCCGGGAGGGATCGCGCCCGTTGGGCCGTCTTCAAGTCGTCCCTGGGGTTCCCGAGGGACCCGTTCTTGCCCCATACGAGGGACCGGCGACAGACTAATACACTAAATATGTTGAAATTTCTTTGCACCATCCGTAGGCAACCGTGCTAATCGGAGGTATGGGAAAGGACAACAAACTAAACACAAAAAGCAGTTCTAAAGAAATTAGTTTTCAATTTAGATTTAAAAGTGCATAGCTCCAGTGGCTTCCTAATATCGGAAGCACATTCCAGACGGCCGCAGAAGTACA